ATGAAGTAAACAGCATGCAAGTCTGATCCCCCTGTGTGACGCGCTCCTCCTATTCGTCCATCTCGGCCTCCGTAGCCCTCGTGCCCAGATGCCAGCGGCTACCACCCTTATCGTCGCGCTCGTGCTCGATGGCGACCTTGCTGAGATGACCGATGATGTTCTCCATCTGGGTATCGCTGCGGCTACGGCTCTTGCGGCCGAGGTTATCGAGCCATTCGATCTGGTTCATCAGATAGTAGATGATGGCGATGACAATCTGGAAAAGCACAAAATGTCAGCAAGATGGTAGACTATGAACAACTGGTTGGAACTTACGGTAACACCGATAGAGTAAGCCCAGATGACAACGGCAGTCACAACGCTCGTGCGACCGTTCGGGTTGAGGTTGGCGCGGTCGCGAGGATCTGTGGCATAGCCGGCACCGGAGAGCCAACCAAAGACACAGAACAAAGTTGACAGAACATCGACACCGAAGATGGCGGCAACAAGTTGCCAAGATGGCCAGGTTTGACCGCCACGGGTAACGAAGATGAGCCAATTTTCGGTCAAGGAGACTTCTAGGAAGATGACCTCTTGAACGTTGGCAAAGTTCTCGATGATACCTCCGTTGGGGAGGAACATAGAGCCACGAATAACCCAAGTACCGAGTGCAAGCAGAGCTCCCATAGTGACACTAATAACCCAGATCTTTGGCAACTGCCATTCCACAGGGCGTGCTTCGAAATGAGCATTGTCGTAGGCCACAGCGATGGTTGCCAAATCGGCGAACAGAGCAAGAAAGACAATAAGTTCGACACCAATAGTCTCGTTAATGATGACCATTGAGGTGACCAAGTAGATTTCCAAATGGAAGCAGAGGGCGATACGGTATTGGATATAAGCTTTCATACGCTGGAAGATCTGTCGTGCAATCTTGATGGCGCTGACGATAGTGCTAAGACCGGGTGCAAGGAAGACGATATCGGCGGCGGCCTGAGCGGCTTCGGAAGCTCCCTCTACAGCAATACCACAATCAGACTTCTTGAGAGAAGGCGCGTCATTAACACCGTCACCTGTCATGGCAGTAAGATGTCCTCGCTGTTGGATCATTTCCACTACCTGGTACTTGTGCTCGGGGAAGACTTCGGCAAAACCATCGGCTCTCTCTACGAGGTCGTGTTGAGTTGTGCCGCTAAGTCCACCGTGGATCAGTCTGTCGGAGTTGTAGACTTTGGTACCTAGAGCCAACATCTTGCAGGTTTCCTTGGCGATAGCAATAGCATCACCTGTAAGCATTTTGACCTGAAGACCAAGGAATTGAGCCTCAGCGATGGTCTGAGCGGTATCTTCACGAGGAGGATCGAACATGGACAACATTCCGAGTAGCTCCCATGGCTCGTTGTCCTTCTTGACAGCAACACCTAGAGATCGGAAACCTCTACGAGCGAATTCCGCAGCCTTATTCTTGAACAGATCCGACGTCTCTTGAGTGCACTCTGAAAGGTTGAGAATAGCCTTTGGTGCACCCTTTGCTGCAACGTAACTGTGACCATCGCATGTACATTCGCAAGTGATACGCTTTGAGACAGGGTCAAAGGGAGTGTATTTCTGGGTCTTCCAGCCTTGCTCCAAAATTTCTCGTGCTTTGGGATAACGCTTGAGCGTAAGGATAGTAACCTTGTCGATAGGATCCAGTGACTTGATGTTGTGAGAGGATGCCAGGACTGCGACTGCCATCATCCAATTGACATCGACATCTTCTGCGACGTAAGGTTCACGGATGGACAGTTGGTTAGCTGTAAGGGTCCCGGTTTTGTCAGAGCAGAGGACATCGACACCCTAAAGTTTGGGGTCAGTATACTCGGATACGAGCACGCTCAAGGTGAACATACTGCCAACGATTCAATAGCGGTCAACTTCTGAACAATTGCCTTATCCTTAGCCAAGTACGCAGCACCAACAGCCAAAGTAGTAGTTGTCACAACGGGTAGACCGACAGGAACACCAACGACCAGTAGAATCAAAAGATAGTGGAGCAGGTTGTTGGAACCGACTTCAGGTGTAGCAATCCTGAGATGATGGAAGAAAGCACCAATCCAGGCGATCAAGATCCAGGCCACGACGATTACGAGGAGCGCAGTACCAATGGAGTTCATTATAGCCTTGAAATGGCCCTGATCTTTGGCACCCTGAACCAATGAAGCAGTTCGGCCGACGAAAGAGGTCCTGGCAGGTGCAGTCACCACAGCGAAGGCCTTTCCACGCTTGCAACCAGTGGTGTAGTATGCGGTATCACCCATGAATTTGTCGACGGCTAAGGATTCCCCAGTGATAGCAGACTGATCGGCGGCAATCAAGGAATGGCCATGATGTTTCTCCTCCTCTTCGTCATCCTCTGCCCCTTCCTTCTTCTCGGAAGGTTCGTTGAGTTCTTGACGCATCAGCTCTTTGTATTCCTCGAAGGCCTCTGGGGCGTCGTAGTTGCAGATCAACCGGGCGTCAGCTGGGATGACCTGGCCTTCTTCGATGATGATCTGGTCAATTGTAAGATAATGCGCATGTATCATCAGACGCCAGAACATACGATATCTCCGGGAACAAGTTCACGAGCCTTGATGTCCTCTTCTTTACCATCACGAATGACTGTGGCTCTCATAGCAATGTCACCCTTGAGAGATGCAACGACATCGGCAGCCTGCTTTTCTTGATACCAACCGACAGTAGCGTTGAGGAGTAGAATGGCAATGATGACACCCAAATCGATCCATTCACGTAGACCTGCAGCGACGAGGACAGCGATTTCCATGACTGTGTTTCACTTTAGCCATGATCGCCATCAAGATTGCAACAGGGACTTACCATAAAGGATGGGACCCGTGAAGTATGACAGGAACTGGGTTTGTTAGTTGCTGATATCATTTTATTATTGCTCATGTTTTCGCGTCGTACCTTGAGGAACAAGTTTTCTTTCTCAGTCGTCTTTCAAAGGTCAGTCAGCATCAACCGCGTCGCAGAGCGCACTGATCAAGTACTGACCAACTCGTTGAATCCGGTCTTCTTGCGACGGTTCTCAACCTCAGTGTTCGAGATACCCTGCTTGATATCGGCCTCGAGCCACTGCGATTCGCGTTAGCAAAGGGTGATGTTGATGGCCTATCGACGTCTAACTCACATCGTCAGGGATCTCTAAGGAGCCATCTCCTTTCTCGGCTTTGGGACCGCGAGACCAAAACTTCCACCAAGGCTTCTTTGCATCGCCGCCTTCCATCGACACGACCGACTTTCTTCGGGGACCTTCATAGTAAGAAGAGATGTAAGCGACTAGATTAGCATATTCCTCGCCGTTTTCCAGGTCTGGTTTGGCGTAGATGGAACCCTTGTGTTCAGCGCCGGATTGTTTGCGACCACCTTCAGCTTCGTTGTCGAATTTTGGCTCATCGAAACGGAGGTGGTTTTCCGTCGAATTATCCGTACCGTTCTCGTCGGGAGGAGCCATTGCAGCGTCTAGGGTTGTTGTTAGATACTGCAATAACAAGATGTTTGGTGGTGATAGCACCGAGGTGGTGTTGAGGAGGGAAAAGAAGAAGGAGAAGGAGAAGAAAAAGCAAAGAAGGCAAAGGGAGTGGAGAGGTGATGTAGGAAGATTGAGGCGAGATGGGCAAGAGCTCTTATAGTTTACTGTCTCACAATCAGCTAGCTTGAGCAACGACGCTTCCTGATTCGCCAATTCACCCCCTCTCAGTTGAGTTTTTTAAAACCGTTAAATTGGCGCGAAAAATCATCCAACGAAATAATCCCTCACTGCTGGCTGCATTCTCTACCCTATTCTCAAGCACAACAATGGTCGGGATTGGGCGGGAATTCGGTCTCACAGGGGTATAGATTACGGCTAATGTTTCCAACTCAACCTCAGATACAGCCCAATCTTACACACGCTTTTGAACCTCCACAGCTGTTGGTGGGAGGGTGGTTGGCAAAAATTTCATCATTTTTTTTCCGTTGGCAACAGACAATTGTATGTGGAACTTCATGCATGGCCGGAGAGTCAGGCTTACGGCGAAGAGAGGGAATGAATGATTGATCCATCGCCGTGGATAAAGTAGATGATTACTGTGTTTACCGGATGCATGGGCTCGCTCGCTTGCTTGCTTGCTTTGCTTGCTTATTTGTTTGTTTGTTTGTAATGTAAAATATTAATATCGTCACCGGCTGCGCGGGGTAACATTGCGCTCGAGAAGGCCCGCGAGACCAGACCACCACGAGAAACGTCGTCCAATCTGATCACTGATTCGAGCGAACGTCATACCCATACACTTCAATGAATCAGTATGTAAATTCTCTACCTAACAGAAAGGGACAGCACACTTGCCTTTTTCTTTTTTTCCCCCCGAAGCTCCGCTTCTTGTTCCCCTTTAGATGAAATAATGCTGAGAATTCCCTCAATGGCCTCAATTGCTCTACAGCTGACCATCGCCACTCAAGAATTTGCCTCAATAATAATTCGTAGTTTGAGCCCATTTGCAAAGTCGTCAGATGTCTGCCATCTGCCATCTGATAATTCTCATAGAATTGCATGCATGTGCAACAGACCCTCTTGCGTTGGAGAGAAAAACAAGCTTCGATCGGCTCCCACCTTAGCCTTGTTACGGTACGGGTAAAAACAGCACGGACAGGGATGTGGCAGATACACGCCTCGTTCGCTGATAACGTGATAAGGCCCGCTGCTCAAAGGTGATTAAAAAGCGCCGAGCTCAGGCCGCGAAGTGATCATCCTAAGGTCGAGTACATGCAGCATTCCTGCTGCTTCAATAGGCAGTTGCAGCCTGCCTGTGAGTGGTTCAACTGACGGGTCTGACAGTTCACGAGGTCACTGAGTGATTTATGGAGCCACCAGGAGCTTCTTTGCCCTCTACTACAGTACCCTTGATCCATAATCACCGTCTGTGGCGTCGGTGACTCTTGTGCAGAATCAGCTTTGAAAGCCGCATGCATTACTACTCAATGTACATTGACTGATACGACTAATCCTAGAGGAAGCAAGCATATACGTCGCAGGCCTCGAAAACCCCTCAAATAAATCCGGCAGCAAGTGCGACAATGCTCACCAGGACCCAGCTTGCCGACAGGGCCCCTGCACCACCTGCGAATGCTATGGGAGTCGATCCTGAGCCCATCCCCGTCGTTATGTTGCTCAATGTGCTAGCTCTTGCAGTATCATTTGCTGACGTCGAGTTGATGGCCGGACAGGATGTGAAGTTCTGGTTGCCCAAAAAGACCCCAACAGTCTGCGCATCGGTCATATGTAGCATGTGGAGAATGGCTGTTGCTGTCGACACGCTCGTTGCGCAAAAATTGATGGTGAAGTTGAAAGCAGTAGCTGCGCCATTGCAGGTGGGGGTCGCAGTCGTACCATCGTAGTCCGCGTAAAAGCTGACGTTGTATGTGGGAATTGACAATGGTGCTAGGGTATGGATCTCTTCGTACGGACCAACCGCAGGCTTGTCATAGACCGTGATGGTTTCGACGACATGGGCGCCGCTCGCCTCGTACGTTCTCGCAGTCCCAACCTTGTTGTCGGTACCATTTAAAGAGACTGTCTCATCGGGATTGCCCGACCAAGTCAGGTTCTTATAAGATCCAATGATTGAGAGAACCTGTGAGTATGTATATGGGACCGTGTACAGGACAGTGTCTGAGCCGGCAAAGTAGCCATCGATGCAGCCATCGGGAAGTCGGCCTGTTTGGTTGAAGATGGAGAACGGCGAGGAATCCTGTGCTGCTGTGCCCAGGACTGCAAGGGCAAGAGAGAGAATTGACTGAGTCTTCATTGTCAGAGGAGCAAAGCGAGTAGGAGGGAGATGAGGTCCGTATCGAACGGAGCGAAAGAGCAGGAATCAGCTTCTACTCACAGCAGCTCTCGACTGCAGCGTGATGTGATGGCGCACCTCCACCATAAACTTGACTCATAACCTCCGGGCGTAGAGCGGCGTAGAGCGGAATATCGGCAATTGCTAAGATTAGCGTTCAGCCTCAGGCGTAAGGTCCATGTTGAAGACTCACGGCAATAAAGATGGAAATGGGCAGTGCGCTTCGAATTGCTAATTAGCAGCAAAGAACAAGCTTCCAGGGAAAACGCGCATTTTTCGATAGCTGGAAGGGTCTAGTCTTCTCTGGATTCTCGAAGCTTTTCAACCGTAGGACAGCTGGGTAAAGAGTATGGAGGATTGGCATGAGCGCAAGCGCGCCTCTCAGACTCTCAAAGCTGACAGTGGTAGTACTGGTACGTAGATGAAAGGCAATGAAAGTTTTTGAGACAAAATCCACTCAGATGCCGCTCCTTTGGCTCTGTCTTCAGTGAGTGAGTGGGAGATCTCGCTAGTGCCCGTTTTTTTTTATTCTTTGCGGGGTCGCCAGTCGGCAGTGCTTGTCTTCAAGTATCAATCCATTCGAGGCCAGCAAATTTGTTTTGGTCCAACATCAGCTGCCACTTCCCCAAGATTCGAAAACGAGTACAAAGGCGGGGCCCCCCAAGTTACTAAGTGGCAGACGGTTCGTCACAGGCATCAGGATGCGGAAAGCCTTGAATCTCGCTCTTACTGGCGTTGCGTGGTTCTCTAGACTCGCTCTGTCTCAGAGTCCATCGGCATTTCCAATCGTTGATCTTGGCTACGAGCTGCACCAAGCTTCGACTTTCAATGTTCGTCCATATCCTCAACCCTACCGTCAGCATTGGCTAATGTATACAGTCTACGGGGGCCTTCTACAATTTCTCGAACATAAGGTATGCTCAGCCTCCCGTAGGCGACCTGCGATTCCGCGCCCCAGTCCCTCCTCATGGCAGAAATACCACAGTGGATAATGGCAGCGTGGGAAGGATATGTCCGCAGGCAAATCCTGCTTGGGAGCTGATTGCTGCCGTGTTTGACCCCGATTACCTAGAGGGAAAGCCTTTCAATCTATCAGCAACCGTGGCAGGCCTAGCGAATCAATCCGGTTCCCTTCCCTCTCTGGACCCTCGGACGACGGAAGACTGTCTCTTTCTAGATGTTGTCGTACCTCAAAACATCTTGAAATCGGCTTCCAACAGCATGAACCTCACGTCCGGCGCCCCGGTCCTGGTGTGGATTTACGGTGGGGGATACACTGCAGGGGATAAGAGCGCACGCAGCCCCGCAGGCTTGATCCAGGCGAGCCAAGTCAATGATACTCAAGGAATAATCTTCGTCTCTTTGAATTATCGTCTGGGGGCTCTTGGATGGCTCGCAGGTCCCACTCTCCAAAGCGATGGGACAGCTAACGCTGGCTTGTACGACCAACGTCTTGCTCTTCAATGGGTCCAAGACAATATTCATATATTCGGCGGTGACCCAAACCGAGTCACCGTGATTGGCGAGTCTGCCGGAGGTGGATCTATCATGCACCAAATTACCGCTTTCGGCGGGCTTAAGGGTCCTGCACCATTCCAACGTGCTGTCCTGCAGAGCGCCGCCTTCCAAAATATCGTATCTAATCTTCAGCAGGAGACCACATTCGATGCTTTCCTCTCGTTGCTTAATGTTAGTACGATTGAAGAAGCTAGGCAACTTCCGTCAAGCGCCTTGATCAAGGCCAACATCATTCAGGTGGCGAACTCTTCGTACGGAGATTATTCGTTTGGGCCTGTGGTAGATGGCTTGTTCGCCCCAGCGATCCCAGGGAAATTGCTTCTTCAGGGCTCCTACGACCACAGCCTCACTCTCATGCTGGGGCACAACGCTGATGAGGGTCTTCTGTTTACGAATCCTGCGATAGGGAACGATACCACCCTCAATACTTATCTCTTGAGCGCTTTTCCTACCATCAACCCCAGCGTTGCGGATTATATTGAGAACGTGCTTTATCCACCCATCATGCCTGGCACCCTGGGAACTACTGGTTATTCCGACGAGACCGGTCGAGTCGATTTGTTAATCTCAGAGTCTACTTTCACGTAAGTGAGCAGATCTGATTTGGAGACGCTCAAGGCTAATTAATCAAGTTGCAATACTTTCTATCTTGACAAAGCCTTCGGCAATCAGACATACGCATATCAGTTTAGCGTGCCTCCCGCCCTTCATGGGCAAGATCTCGCTTATACATTCTTTAACGGTCCCAGCAGCTCTGTGGTCAGCGACCCTATCGCTGTAGCGCTTCAAGAGTACATCACCAGCTTTGCTATCAATGGAGGCCAGCCAAGTGGACCCTTGCTTCCAATGTTCCCTATCTATAGCAATGCGAGTGACATTATCGATGTGAATGCCACAAGTATTACCGAGATCATGGATCCCATTGCTAACTCTCGTTGCGACTGGTGGCAGAAAGAGTTATACGTATGAGCATCTGTGCGGGTACTAGTCCATCAGAAGTACTGTTGTGGATGGCTGGATGTATGCAATAACTTGTGGACAAGCTGTATCCCGTATATATATCGACTTACCGGACCATACATAGAATTCCAAACTGTATCGAGACTGCTCATAGTGCCGCCATTGCCCAAGCGCACTTCACTTCAACTTCGCTGAGGTCGGCGTTTGCCGAGACACTAAAACTAGTGTACTTTGCTGCGAGTCGCACCTTCTCCATCAATCTATGGATAGTGAACATCAGTACTATTTCGGAGCAGCAATGGATCCATTTTCCTTAGCTGTAGGGCTCTCGGGTTTGGTGGCATTGACAGCTCAGACATTGAAGTTGACCCAGCAATATCTTCATGGGGTGAAGCACGCCAGCGAGGCTGCCGATGCACTTGGAGCTGAACTTCAGCTTCTCCACGACACCCTCTGCCGTCTTGATGGATTTCTCCGTAGCGACGGTGCCCAGAGGCAGTCGTTCGATGAAGCCTCGGTGCTAGTATCCAGCACAGGTGCCTGCAGGACTAAGCTGGAAGTACTGCATAAGAAGTTAGATGGTGCTGCAAAGAGTCGCTTGAACCGAGCCTTGTGGCCTCTGAACGAAAAGGAACACCGCCAGTCAGTGCAAGAGTTAAGGGCGGTTGCTCAATGTATTCACTTTGCCATGACAATCGATGAATGGTGAGGCTCTGGTGGTCTTCAGGACACCCAAGCTCGATCAATGTCTGACTATACAGTGCGCTACTTTCAAAAACATCCGAGGATGTCATTGAAGTCTTACGAAAGCACTTGGAGACTTTCCAAATCTTGACGGATATTAGCCATAGCACAGCATCGCTCGAGCTTTCGGTCAAAGGTAATCTGCCACAGTTCGACGGTGGTTTTCCCCGAAGTGAAGACATTGTTTCGGGCCCGTGCATCTCTTCAACGCTTGTCTTTTGACTGTGGCTCTTTCATACTGCGGCTGTTCCAGTTCCTCATCATCCTGGACATGCTTAAAACTGACAAAGGAGCGACGCAGAGCAGAGCCAGATATTGCAAAATGATCGCAAATCCCAGGAACGCGAAAAGATCCTGAACTGGATTTCGAATTTTGAGAACGAGAGCAAACACAACGCCATTCGCATGCCACGGGTAGCAGAGACAGGTGAGTGGCTGACGAATACCGAAGAATTCACGACCTGGCGCAAGGGTGTGGAATTGCCAAGCGTATTATGGTGCCATGGCATCCAAGGTTCTGGAAAATCCGTCATGACGTTTGTTCAAGTCCGTTGTAATTCTGTCTGCAGGAGCTGACGTAGCATAGCTCTCTAGTCATCGATCGATTAAGGGATGAATACGTTGGCCAGAAAGTTGCCATAGGCTTCGTATACTTCGACTATCAAGACCAGAGAAGCCAATCGCCTGAGAATGTGGTCGCAAGCCTTCTGAGACAGGTCGCTTCTCAAAAGCCCGTACTTCCCACATCGCTACTAGAGCTTTACACGAAGTTCGGGGAGCAAAACCGAAGGCCTCAAATACAAGATTTCGAGCTCACACTGTTGCATGTATGTCAAAACTTCGATCAAGTTTTCATTGCCATTGACGCTCTCGACGAATGTGATGAGGGACAAAGTCGGAAACATTTCCTTCTTTTCCTGGCTACATTACAACAAACCCCGAGTATCCGGCTGTTCGTTACTAGTCGCCCTTATCCGGAAGAAATCCGAAAAGCCTTCGGCTCAGCCCCCCAAGTTACTGTCGAGGCCAGCGATGCAGATTTGAGGAAGTATTTGCGGAGGAGGATAGAGGACAGCGATAGCGCAGATATTATTGACGAGGGTTTCAAACAACATCTCGTCGAGACAATCGCAAAAGGTGCACAAAAGATGTATGCCAACCAATTCCCCGAAGTAGCCGTATTCACTGCAACGTAACATCTCACTTTTGGTCTAGGTTCCTGCTACCCACCTTGCAGATTCAAACCATTGTCAATGAGCCCACTACTGGAGAGATGGAAGACGCACTTGAAGCCATGCCGCACGACCTGCATCAGGCTTTCTACCAGACACTCGCAAGAGTACAAAGGCAGCCAGACGGCCGAAAGCGACTGGGCATGAACATTTTACTGTGGGTATCTCACGCCCAGGGTTCGTTGACTGTAACAGAATTGAGTGAAGCAATGGCTGTCAAGCCTGGAAATACCTCCTTGAATCCAAGACGTCGGCCCTCACAAAATAGAATTATAGGGTGTTGCTTGGGCTTAGTGACGGTTGATCGGGAGAGCTCCAGTGTCCGTCTGGTACATTATGCCTTGCAAGAGTTCTTTCGGGATCATCGAGAAGAGATTTTTCCCTCGGGAGAAGACGAAATTGCGGAAATATGCATCACATATCTTTGTTTCGACGACTTTGTCCGTGGTAGTTGTGAGTCCGAAGCTGCAATCGAGCGTCTAATACAAAATTCTCCCCTCCTCCGCTATTCTTCGAGCTACTGGGGTCATCATGTACGATTTTCACACTGCGACCGAATCTACGGACTGGCACTCAGATTGCTTCATTCTCAGCCCCGCCGAGCTCTCTCCACACAAATCCAACGTTATTCGCAGGGATATCGTGCGGAATATTGGGAACCAGACGAAGTGAACAGTCACAATGCTTTCCACTGGGCTTGTAGCCACGGGCTGCAAACCGCAGTGTGCAATATACTAGACTCGGAAGACATTGATATTGATGCCGCAACCTACATGGGTACTACCGCACTGATCCGAGCTGCCTCTTCTGGCCACCTGGACCTAGTAAAATTACTTATGAGTCGAGGGGCAGACCCTACGAAGGCGAACTGGTACGGAACAGTGCTTCACTGTGCTGCCGAAGCAGGGCAGTGCGAAAGCATCAGCTTTCTATTGGATAGTGGCATGAACATCGACTTGAGAGATACTTTCGGACGCACTCCCTTGCATTGCGCGTCAGACCAAAGACATGTATTGGCCATGGAATTACTCCTGGACATGGGCGCAGACCCAAACGCACGGGACAAGGCAGGGAATACGTTGATTCACGATACTGCCCAAACAGGAGATGAACGACTAATGCGACGACTGTTGGAAGATGTACGGGTTGACATCTCAGCAACGACAGTTAGAGACGCAACGGTCCTCCACTGCGCTGCCCGCGGAGGTCATGCCAACATCGTTCGCATGCTCCTTGATGTGGGTGCTAGAATAGATGCGAGAGGTCATGGCGGCTGCACTGCGCTACACCTAGCGGCAGGATGGGGAAGAGAAGACGTCGTACGGTTGCTAGTGGAAGCAGGAGCAGACGTGAATGCTAAGACTGACGACAAGGCTACTGCCAGGTACTTCGCCGCCGCTGCCAATCATGAAGGTATTCAGCAGCTACTTCTGGAGCATGGGGCCGAGAAAGGAGTATTCCATTACCTAGACGGTAGTGCTCAGTCAGTAGGAGACGCTGATGATTCCTGTCACCATGAAAATCTTTCTCTGGTAGATGTGGGGGGGTTAGTTGTAAGAAAGATATGCCCCACCACCTCTTCTTAATTGTCTGCAGCCGCGGTAGGAATTTCCGCCTACGAGACTTCCATACTTCTCAGGCTCGTACATAGTAAGTCGGCACTCTGCCTGACTATCTTGGAGTAAACAGGTGAGTGGGACTCTGCTGAACACAAGTAGGGCAAGCCTGCTGTCGCTTGGACGGATCAAAGACAGTCAGACGAAGGGGAGTCGCATGGGCCAGCGTACTTGCATAGGAAGGAATGAAGAAGACGTCCTTGCAAGGTAAATAGTATGCAGAAAGGGTAAGAGACAAATCTGAGAGCACAAGTTATGGTTGACGCCCGCTTAAATATACCATTCTGAAGAAGAGGTAAATGTGGAAATGCTCGAATCGTTTAGCAGAAATCAGTACGAAACAGCAGAAAACGGCAATGAGAAGTCCTCCGGAACCATCCCAATGGGTAATAAACCTTGCTTGTGGCCCATCATCGACTTTCTCGAACCTTTTAAACTGTCCCAAACCAAGGCCCATAGCGCACCATAGATCCAAAGCCTTGCCATATATATGCTTTCAGTGCTTTCCAACAATGTCTTTCGCCATTTCCTGCTCCCAATTCTGCCCATCCCTCGGCGTCACGTTGATGCTCCTCACGTTGTCCCTTGCAAGGCACCTGTAATTGATATTATAACCCTCTGGATAGCTCCTCGGTACGGTCAATGGCGAGATGCCACAACATTTACAGAACATGTGTTGTGCAGTTCCTGTTCCGAACTTGTAAACCTCTAGATTCTCTTCGCCTTGGAGCGATTTCAGCGCAGACTTCTCGATGACGAAGCCCAGGAAGCCTGGAACAGCAGGGTGAGGACTTTATCGACGATGCTTCCCTGGCATCTTGCCGAGACGGGGTTTTACCTTTCATGGAGCAGATGCTGCAATTGCACTCGCTGAGCTCGATGTCTGGCGAGTGGAGGACTTCGAGGTTCACTTTCTTGCAATGACAGCTGCCTTTGTGCAGCACTTCTGTATTCATGATTGCGCACACGGTCAATTGCCACTCCATGTAATACAGCTATGTCTCTTTCTGGTGGAATGTTCCAGTTGTGTTCTATCAACACTACTGAAGACATGGGGGTTTTGATGTCTGCCGCCTAAAATGCGGGACTGGTTTTAGCGTTCGAACAAGCAGCGCTCTACCTTAGTCATCTAGTTGGAGATTACAGGAGTCTGGCGATCCCACTGGCTTCCCTCTACAGCATCAAGCAGAAATCCAGCAACGCTCTTCCTGCTAATAAACCACCCCACTCCTTTCCCCTCATTCCCAAATTCCTTCACCTCCTTCTTCTCCCCATTGTCCAATCCCGTCGCCCTTACATCGACCCATTTGAAGTCCACGTCTTTTTCAGCCTCTGCTTCCAATAACTTCTGCACCTCATAATGATCATCGAACGTAACCTTCAGATTCGAATGATCGACGATCCAATTAAATAACCAGCCGCCGTTCGCCCGGCTACTCCCAACTCCATTCGTTCCTAAGACGACCATTTTCTTCACGCCGTGCTCTTTCATCACGGCCAGGGTGTTGCGTACGGATTCTGCCATGAGGTTTGAAGGCGATGTTGTTTTGGCCCAGGGGTTATCGCTCGTCCGACCGGTATTCAATGTGGATATGACCACTCTAATGGGATCCGATCTCGGAGCACTGGCAAAAGAGTTGGAAATGTCGGCCTGATTGAGTGGTGTGCCGGTAATGATTGAGACGTTTGGTTGAGAAGGAAGCGCGTCTGGGCGGCGGACGAGAGCTGTAACAGTGTGGTTTCGGGAAAGGGCTTCGGCGAGGGTGAGAGAACCGGTGCGGCCGCTGCCGCCGAGGAGGAAGATGCGCATATTGGCAAGTAAGTACCCTTTTCAGCTTTCGACTGTTGTCCTGGAAATGTTATTTAAGGATATCAAAGTCAATACTTGGCATTTCCTAGGTGAAGCCAGTCAATCAGGTGTAATTGCATGCATGCACTCGAAGACTTTTACTCTCAAAAATTTGAGAAATACCATGGCATATATCAGCATCTCTTTGTCTTCGTCTTGCTCTAAGTCTTGGCTCTGAGGAAATGTTGACCAATGCCAGCGGATGCGGGTTACCGGACGGATCTCCGGCAGCTGGAAGGACCCGAGATGCCGGCTGCCGGCTTTGTAAGCAAATCTTGGCATGCATCTGCCGATATCCTTTCTTCCCTTTCTTCCTTGCGTTCTTCCGGCCAAGAGTAGCAAAGCAAACCGAATGACTCACATCTATCCTCAAACCCCGAATTATGATTCTACTAAGATATATCATGACGCGTTTCTGAATACTCCGGTCTTGCTCATAATGCTACCGCCATTCCACCAAGCAAGAGCCCTGCTAGCACTACCGCTCCACATGCTGTAACGACCCCAGACCCGCCAGTGAAAGGCGCTGGACTTCCCATGAAGGTGCCATTATGTATTGTGGTACTATTGTGTATCATGGTACCGTTACCCGTTGGCGTCGCAGTCCTGCTGACACTCGCAGCGGTGGGCGAAGTGGTAGAATTGATGTGCTTGTATCTCCCACCCTGGGAGCACAGACTCAATGCAAATGCGTTGGTGACTGTCATTGCCACTGTCAGCAAAATTTTGCAGAATCAAATGATACCAAACGCAAAAAAGGAATCCGGTCACCATTTTGTTCGGCAGCAGTGCAATTCTCAATTTCGCACTTATTAAACACTGCAGCATATGTGTGGTTGGTTGCCGTGCAGGTGCTTTGGTTGAAGGCTTGGAGCGTACAGTGTTGCTTGAAATTGTCAGCCATGAATTTGAAGGCTCCTGGTGAGGAGCCACATAGGAAAATCCGGCTTACAGCGCAATGAGATAGAATGGTGGAAACGTTCTGGTGCGCTTGGACCAGCGAGAGGGATACACCGGCCAGGAATACGGAGATAAGTAGATGCAATATCATTATCTTGGACGGTCTGCAATGATGATGGTGGTGCGCTGATATTGGGTAGATTTCGGAGTAGGAGTCTCGGAACGGCTCCAGCAGCAAAAGTGGCGAGGGTTGTGAGTTCATGCGATGTCGAATGAGATAAATAACTCGTTCATGTTAAGCTTTTTCGTAACAATGCATGATCTCAGTTTTCCATGCATGTTCGCATACATGAATATGCTACCGTAGTGTTTTGGTATGAGCGCTTAAGAGCAAAGCGACTTTTGGCCGCACGGAACAGACCCGAGAAACGCCAGAGAAGAGATGAACGAATGACCATGGCTATGACTTTGCCACACATTGGCCACACAAGAAAGACCAAGGTGTTCGAGTGGCAGACGAGATAGGGGGTTTTGATCTTGCCGAAAACCAATTCCAAAGACTGCCCCAAGGCAACATCTGGGCAGCTTCTGCGTGATAATAAATCTACCGTCATCAGTAATAGACACTAGAAAGGATGACTGGGTATAGCGCGGTCACTGTGGTGAAAAAGCATTGTTTTCAGTAGTAGATTGCGGTTTTTGTACAAGCATAAATCAACACCTGGATATCATATCGCGTCCCCTGTAAAATTATCTGAACGCCTTTCCGATACGTGCGCAGTCGTGCATAGTCTCAGGCGTCCTCACCAGTAGGACATTTCATTTCGACCCTTCGATCCCCTCCTCTGCCCCACTGCTAGGTGTCAGTCTTCCCTCGCCATTTGGACTACTCTCTCTTGCATCCTCCTCGACTGTCCCAGTCTCTTGTCCTCCCAGCTCTAGATCCTGGCCCTCACCATCTTGAGGTACGGTTGAATATCCCTTTGCTCTCCTCCTCCGATCAAGCATACGCTTGTGATACAGCGTGCACAGTCCTAGGGCCAAGAGTGATCCGACAACGTTGGCTGCAATGTCGAGAGGATCGAATTGCCGGCCATTGGGAAGCAGGCCTTGCAGCGCTTCGGAACCGAGGCCAAGTCCAAATGTAACGACAAGGAGAGTGAAGTTGAGAACCCTGCGCCTAGTCGTATCGAGGATCCAGTAGAAGGCGGTGGTCAGGAGGAAGAAGGTGAGGAAATGGAGGACTTTGTCATTGACTTGAGGAATCTGGGTGGAACCGAGACCTAAATATGCAGCACCGAGGAGGACAAGGACGAATGCGCCTGCATTGGAGTGTCAGGCGCATAGAACTGGACGCGGCTTGGGAGTAGTTGACTCACATGCAAAGTTTATTCGGACTCGCATGGTAATAGTAGAGCAGGGCCAGCAAGCTAAGGCTTACCAACAGGGACTTGACATGGACAGTGAATGTGTTGAACGATTGTTTTACCCAGCTCAATCAAAAGGAGTGAGAGAAGTTGAGAGGTTGATATTCGAGGAAGACAGTCAGGTACCTATGGGTTTGCGGCGTAAGAGACAGCGAGACTTGAGACATCCCGAAGTATTTCCGTTAGCGGTCGGCAGTCAACCTCACTTCGCGGAACCAGCAGATGCATTACTGACGAGTTCAGTCATCAAGCGGCCATCCCAACCCATCTCAAATCGCTTCAAATTCGCTTGGGCAACTCAGTGAGATGCTGGCTTTTATCTCCAGTCAGTCTCATGCCATCATCTGACCCAGGGCACATTGGAGTCGCCACGAAGTTGCTCCGCAGGAGCGCCCAGTAACCCCTGCGTTGGGCGGGCTGGAGGGGCATGGCCATGCATAAAAATCATATCAACTCCACGCCCACTCCCCTCCCCAGCGGCAAACGTGATACACTGCATGTTAATGGCTACCATGGATTCCCTCGACGCTCCGTAACACCCAATGGCCGCCCCGTACCTGCAAATGCAGCTCGCCTTATGAACAGCATAGAGGGAGATCTTGGCGCAGAGGAAAACCCAAGATTATCGGTCTTTCGCGACCTATATGCCAGGAGCGAGGCTCGAATAAGCTCGTTGTTTGAAGAGAATGGGGCAAACGAAAACGGCGATACTAGGAATGTAGAAGAGCAAGACCATCAGCTCAACGACGATCCTTTCGAAGATGCGCCTGCCCCAGCTACGGGTTCTCCAAGAAAACATACGAGGAAGATCGATGAGGATGACTATGACGAATCGGAGGATGAAGATGACGACGAAGCCGGCGACGATTCCCCCCTCAAATCCAAAAGCACGGGCCCTCCTGTTAATCTGGCACCCTCTTCCTCTGCTATGGTCCGTGGCCTATCCTCAAGCTCGACACCTGCTAGTGCCAAAGGCGCCTCATCTATCCTGGCGGTGAAGACAACGGAGGAGGCGCGCAAGAGGCTCGAGGAAGACAAAAAAGCTACTGAAGACGCGGCCAAACGAAGTTTCCACACATTGTTCTACACTCTGGAAAACGATAGAGATACGATGCTGGAGCAGAAGAAGCTTGAAGAATCTGAGCGTCAGGTTGATATCGAGATGGGCGGGGCTGGTGCAGCTGCGAACAACGTCAACGGGCTTGGGGGCAACGCGCAGCAGGGGACGTTGAGCCAGACAAACTTGGGCGCATCAAGCCTGACCTTGAAGAACCTGATATGGATGATTGATACAAATAGAGATAAGGTCAAGGCGACCGACCCTGAACTTAGAGCACTGATGAGCGAAGTGAGGAAGAACAGGAGCAAATGGGCAAGCGAAGACAAGGTCGGACAGGAAGAGTTGTATGAGGCTGCGGAAAAAGTTCTTAACGAACTAAGGGGTATGACAGAGCACTCCGGTCCATTTCTTACAAAGGTCAACAAAAAGGAGGCGCCTGATTATGGCAATGGTGAGTCCAAAAAACTTGCCCTATTTCGCATCTAATCTAAAGTCTTGTTACAGTCGTCAAACATCCAATGGATCTAGGAACCATGACGAAAAAGCTCAAGACTCTGGCGTACAGGTCAAAACAGGACTTTGTCGAGGATCTCAATTTGATCTGGCAGAATTGCTTGAAATACAACGCTAACCCAGAGCACTTTCTCCGCAAAAAGGCTTTATTCATGCGTAAAGAGACTGATAAGCTCGTACCCCTCATCCCTAATATATCAATCAGAGACAGAGCAGACGTTGAAGCAGAGGAGCGTCGACTGCAGAATGGCGATATCAACATGGATGGGGATGAAGATAGCGACGACGAGCCTATCATATCTTCACGAGGACGGAAGGCGCCCAGCAAAAAAGCGAAGAAAGGAACGACGGCGCGGAAGGCGCCAGCTGGTGTGCCAGAAGGCTCACCTGCCGCCGAAGCTAAGCCAAGCTCGAACCACCTGGCACCCAATGGACTGGGTAGCAACCTTAAATTTGAGCACTTGATAGCCGACTCTGAAAGTGTGATGGATGGAAGCCAGAAAGACCTCTCGACTCCTCCACCTGGTGCGATCACTCCGGCAGGCATCAATGGCATTCTAGGACACGGGACACAGTCGGATGGCATGGATATCGATGCTGATTCTTCGATCAATGGCATCGTTTCCTCCATCGACGGTCCGAATGAAGAAGCTGAGAACGATGACTTGGAGTACAAAACCTGGAAACAGGTGACCAAAAAAGACCGTGCGCAGGTCACTGCGGAACGGCATAGACTTTTTTTAGGAGACCATCTCAATCCCGAAGAACCAGCGCTTCGACGTACGAAGTTGGGAATGAGAAGATGGCTGAGGAATCAAAAGCAAGCAGTTAGTGACGGCGCATTGGGCAAGAAAAGCGCCGAGGAAGAGGCTGAGATCCGGGAAAACGAAGAATCGCAGCCGAGTGGAGAGACTCTTGCAGAGGGTATGGAGGGTGAAGAGGAGAGGGTACTACCAGACTACTATGACGCTTTAGCCGTTATCCCTGATCTCAGCAATCGATTACAATGGCTCGAAGACTCTGACGGAAACGTACAGGATCCGTCGGGAGAGTTTCTACGGATTCTGCCGCAAGGGCTATTTACTTCCCCAGAGAGCAATCTGACACGAAAGATCGACAAGAATCTGCGACAGATACAAGAAACACGAAAGGTCACATCGAAGATTGCAATCGTAAAGCAGATGCAGCTGCAATCACAGGTATGCTTGAAGGCCAGTTGAGGTTCTATGATTGTATGTTGACACTAGGGCAGATGTACCAAGGCCAGTTCCAAAAGCACGAACCTGCTCCCTTTGTCGAGCAGGACATTGAACCTACAGTAATATCTGAGGAGGGTCCTCCCATAGCACCCTCGGTGTCTCGAGCCGCGCTGCAACGGTCTACAGCTAAACTCCTGGTCCTCGCTGGGTTCGAGGAATTCCAACCAGCAGCACTGGATGCTATCACCGAGATGGCTGGCGATTACTTTATAAAAATCGCCCGTACATTGAACGAGTATCCACAAGCCCAGCAGGTAGCAATCCCAGCGCCCGGAGTACAAGGAGGCAGAATCGCATGCAAAGAAAGATTCACTACCGAAGAAATCATCCTGCACACTCTCCACATAAACGGCGCCGACCTTGATGCCCTTGATAGTTATGTGACAGAAGAAGTCGATCGGGCCGGTACCAAGCTCGCGGTTACGCATGACCGAATGAAAGCCCATCTTGCAGACAGTCTCCGTCCTGCACTCACCGATGCTGGCCCTGATGGCGCTAACGCCTTCAACGATAACAGCGAACAATTTGTGGGTGGTGACTTCGCCGAGGAACTCGGTGAAGACTTCTTTGGCTTCAAGGATTTGGGTCTCGACAAGGAATTCAATATGGCCAGCTTGAGCGTGCCTCTGCATCTTCTGCAAAACCGTATGCGCAGTGCCAATCAAGCCCAAAACCCTAGGTACGTGTATAGTCTTCTTACATCCTAGTAACCGATACTGACGTCTTTCAGCGCTCTCTCTTCCACCCCTCTCTCTGATCTTCCACCACCACCGTCGCTTACACCCGTCACCGTCAACAACGTCAAGAACGAAATCGGTCTGGTGCAAGCCTTTTTCCTTGCCAAACTCCGTGCCAACAACGACGAGCCCCTTATCGAAGACGACGATCTACCTCAAAAGCAACGTTTCCCAAAACCGAGGTTACCACCAACAGGGAAGATCACGAGTCCGCGCAAACGACCGCTTAAGGAGCAAGGTCCTGGAAAGGGTCATCCGAGGAAGAAGATGAAGGTGGGCGAAAATGGGGAAGCTAAGGAAATGGGGAAAGAAAATGCTGCAGAAAAGGAGAGCGGAAAGGAAGGCGAGAAGGACAAGAAAGATGAAACGCAAACACCAGCCAAAAAGGCCACTACTAATGGTGTCGTGAGCAATGGTGCTAATTCTACTGTTGATTCTGGCGGAGACGTGACGATGGGTACACCAACGCCAACGCCGAAGGGGAAGGGAAAGAGTGGGAAGGAAGGGGGTTTGATCTCGCCCGAGAGCTTGGAAGCGACGTGATTATCGATTGGAGAGACGAAGAGCTAGCCGTCTGCATTGGAGAGAAGAGCAGTCTTTTCTGCCGACGACCCGGATTGGGGGTTGTAATGATAGGGTAGGATTGATGTACAGGCACGGATGGCGTACTCGTCAATGATACCAAGGAGAGGAGGCGTTGGTGCCGATTTTTTCTCGTCCGTACATACATCTTCAGGGTGGTTCTTTTGGTTTATGGCGTTAGCCACGGACGGATGCATTTGCATTGCGCGGAGTCTCCGTGTCCTTTGTGGTATGGGGGTACGATTGATTGGCACTGTGGTGCGAACATCTATCGAGGGTGATGGAGGTCTTCTATTATTCTACAACCGATTCCATATCTGCTAGAAGAAGAACAAACCAGTCAATGTTTGCGTCTGAAGTGCATGCTTGCAATGGATCTGTGAGATCCGTCCACTGAGATTGAATTCGGCTTCTGATGGTATCTATCTCGCTATACAGAAAATAATGTGCAACGATGTGGCGCTAGGTGCTTTCTATCTCCTCGGCATGCCTCTTCCCCTACCCCTGAGTGCTCGTTGCGCCGCTCCAGGAGGTAAGCCTCGTTGCGGGGCTTGCGGTTGCTCTGATTGTTCGTTTTCTGCAAGATCCGTCAGCGATCGTCCCTGTTCCTAGCCCGCCACCAAGCACAAGGGACAATAACATACTGATAGTCTCATCCACACTCAAGATCAGACAACTCGCCTCCACCGCCGCCATGACCGCATTCACCTTGACCAGACTCGGCTCCCACACGAACGCTGCCATATTGTCCCTCACGCCCTCGTTGTCAAAGTCTACGCCCGCCCATACATTGCCCTTGCGATGCTCGACGCGCAGCTGAGTTAGTATGTTTGTGGCGTCGAAGCCGGCATTGTCGCAGAGCTGGCGGGGAATGATTTCGAGGGCTTTGGCGAAGGATTTGATGATTGCTTGTTGTTTGCGTGGGACGGAGAGGTCAGCGTGCTTGTGGAGATGGGCGGATACTTCCATCTGTACATCTCGTCGTCAGCACAGGGTCTTCTAGGTCACCAAGAGGATTGCTGGGTGCGTTTACCTCGCAAGCACCACCTCCAGCGACGATATTCCTATTCACAATCGCTCGCTTGACGATCATGATTGCATCATGCAGACTTCGCTCCACCTCTGCGATGAATTGTTCTGCTCCTCCTCTGAGGACCAGCGTACATGTCTTTGCTGCCGGGCAACCTTCGAAAAAATTGAACCGCTCGCCACCTATTTGCCGCTCGTCAAACCGCGCGCATGTACCTAGATGTTGGGGTTGGATGTCTGAGCAAGTGGATGAGATGCTGCCGCCTGTTGCTTGCACTACTCTTTCTAAATCGTCTGACGAGACTCGCCCGGCACAGAAGACGTCACGGTCTGCGAAGTATCTGCGTTTGATTTAGCTTATTATCTTGGAAGCTTAACCGGGGAAAGACCAACTGTGTAGCCAAGTCACCTATAGGCAATTTACTCAGCACGACCTTCGCCCCTGTCTTGTACACCTCTTCCATCTTATTGTAGATAATCTGCCATTCTGCGTCCACAATCGCTTGATACTCAGACACCTGATCCACTCTGACCTCTGCATTATCTTTTTCGCTCTTCAACTCAAGCTCAACATTCAGGCACACAATCTTCGGGTCCTTAAAGCTCTTGGGTTGTTGTTCGAATCCAGCATATGAAAAGGTCTTCTTAAAGGCCACTCCATTTACAAAAAGCGAGTCTTGCAAGGCTCCTCCCGTGATCTTCTTAATGCCAATAAGTTTGTCATTCAGATCTTCTTGATCCAGCGAAAGTACGGCATCCACAACCACTAGCATATTGTCAGCACCTGTCCCCGCTCACAGTGTCTTCCCAGCACAACCCACTCTTGGTAAAGAAATCGGCATTCCGGTGTATCAACTTGCTACTCATAGCGGTAGCCGCCAACCTCCTCAAAGTTTCCCTCTGGTTTCCTTCTTTCGTCGTAACAGCAATCTCCTTGATTTTGTTCACTGCCATAGCTGAAGCTCTCCTCAGCCCTTTGATGATGATCTGAGAGCTGACGCCCTGCTCGACATGCTCTTTCACTTCCTTCAGGATTTCGCCTGCCAGAACGACAACTGAGGTGGTACCATCGCCCACTTCGGCGTCCTGGGAGCGCGCTATGTCTGTGAGAATGCGGGCGGCCGGGTGGACTATATCAAGAAGCTGGGGAAGGAATTAGCGCCCTCATGGAGTAGCTTGAAGAGCTACCTACTTTCATAACAGTAGCGCCGTCATTTGTGATTGTTTGCCGACCGTTTTCGTCCACCAGCAGCAGATCTCCACCATATGGACCCAGGGTACTCCGTATTGTATCTTGGACTGCTAGACATGCTTGTATGTTGGATATGATTTGCCCTTTGCCTTGGGAAGAATCGGTGCCCTCCTTCAGCACGATTATGGTGGGGGTCTGCCCTCCGAAGGACATGGTTCTGTTTGCTGCTCAAGGTACAAGCAGAAAACCCTTTCACGCTGATGAAAACGTTTGGTTTGAGGAATGCAAGGTCTGTCACTGCTGTCAAGAGAAACCAGAAGATAATGTTCTCTACTCGGCTGGGCAGATGTTGAAGTGAAAATCCGAGCCTTTTCCGACGCGTTTTTCGCGAGAGAAGAATCCTTGGCGTTGAGGGCTAGGGCTCAAAGACCGGATGTTCTACTAAGGTAGTAAGTATATCACGACACTAGCATATAACAAATGGGAGCACAGGAGGCAACACAAGACTTTCAACGGCCATCATGTGACCACTAGCTTACTAGATACTCGCTGACTGGCTGCTTGAACTACGAGTACATGCGCACCACACGTATCTAGACCTCCTGGAGCCTCCTCCCTGTCTAGATTTAGCCGGAACACATTATGCATATGCAAAACCCCGGCCGTAATGCATCACTCATGATCCATCCTCCATTGCCGCGTTGTTCCCATAACATGCTTTGAAATCCCTGCCTCATACAAAATAAGCTGCAACCGTCTGCTGCGTGTCTGGGCTCAATGTGGCAAGGACCTGATTTGCGTCGATACCTGCTGTCTGAAGAAGTTGCTTACCAGCTGCCGCCGCCCGCTGTGCCGTTGTACCTTGTAAGGTCTCTGCTTCGAGTGCTTGCGCAATGGCTACGAAGCATTGACTCGAGATTTGAGGCGACGCAATGACGACAGGATTCCGTCTAGGATTTGGTCAGTCAATATCTCACTCAAGGATAGCATGAACGTGAATGGACTTACTGATCGATTAGTTGGGCCAAGAACATGTAAACGTAGGGTGCCGCTTCTTCGTCATTAACCACAGGCAAGGTGTTTAGCCAGTGTTGAACGACCTCCTGAACGTTGGGTATTTTGCTGGAATTGGCCTGCAGGATCTTGGCGATACTGGCACATGCATTCTCAGTAGCATAGACGTGGTCGTCTTCTCGGGCCTGCGGAAGTTGGCAGACTTGAAACAATGTCGACAGGTTCTCAGCAACGAAACTAGACCAATTTGCTCCACCCTTTTGTGCTGCTATGCCCACACCGTAGCAGGCCGCTTGTCGGTTTGCAGGAACCTCATCCCTCATGCCCGCAACCAAAGGTGGTCTGATGTGACCTTGATAGCTCCAGCTTTGATCTCCGCAGAATTCGAGGACGTCGTCGTATATACACAGCGCCCACTGCCGTTGCGTCGAGTCTGCGCTGGTGACAAAAGCGTCGTAGAAAGGCAATAGACGTGACCAAGATGGAAGAAATGATGTTTCTTGGTTTTTGAAGATGGTATGAAAGGCTTTGTTCATGTCCGAGAGAAGTGTTTGGTCGTCCTCAATTGCGAACACGATGTCTTCGTTTTCTTCCTCGCCTTCTTCTGTCTCTTGTTGTTCCTCGGCACGGTTCTTGACCCGATTCTGGTAGTCTTCAAGCGTCGATTTGACGGACTCGATGAATGCTCCCATATGTTCCTGTGTTAGGCAGTTCTTGCCGACGACTTCGACAGACTCATAGAAACATTGATACATTTCCGCGAGCGTATCAATTGCCGGTTCCGCACTTAAGACTTCAAGGACCTTGTCGACTACCACCTTCCAGAGTTCACCCAACTGACTGGAAGTCTCCCCGTGTGCTTTTTTTACAGAGTTAAGAAGTACTGGCACGCTCTTGGCTGAAGCAACCCGAACAGGATCGTGGAAAAAGAACGCCAAGCCTGGCAAAGACACCTTGTCTATGATGTTGATCACATACGGCTCGAATGCGCCTTCAAGCTGTTGCGCGTAGATGACGATGAGCTCGATAGCCATGTGCTTGTCTTCAAGGATGGAGGTCTTGATCCCGATGACCTTGCCTTTCAACGGTACCATCTCCCAACCCTCTTCCTGCTGAACTTTGGCTATCTGTTCGTCGTCGTCAAGAAGCTGGATATCGGCTTTAGCGCTAGCAAGCTCCATCAGAGGAGGCATGACACCAGCAAGATATGGTATAAAATCGGACCCCAGAACGCGACACATTCGTCCCCAACAATGTAATAGGTATTGCGATTGTGGATCATCAGTATCCTGGATGTTTTGTTGGATGTTACCCAATATCTGCACTAGTGTCAAAGCATCTGATCCCATGCGTTGCTTGCCGACGGCCAACGCAATCAAAGTCGCGCACTCCATTGCTTTCGCTCTCAAGAGTCTATACTCTTTCGACTGCTCTTCTCTCAGGACGTTGAACAACAAAGGCATCAGGGTATCGTAGTATTTTCCAAAAGCAGTCTCGGCGGAATCAGCAATGGTAGCAATCGTTGAAAGAGCCTGCTCCTGCACGTAACGTTTCTGGCTCTGCAGCAAATGCAAAAGGCGACTCAGTAAGTCGTCCAAATAAGGTTCAAGGGTAGCTTTCTCGGCCTCTTCACAGAAGTTAACAAGAGCCGCAGCGGCGTGAGATTGAATCCTAGGTTCAGTGGCATCCAACACGGGAATGATGTTTGTCAACACGACGTTGTGGT